CTACAAAGGCTGGAGTAGTCTTCAGACAGCAGTTTTGCAAAAGTCTGGGATAAAGTTGTTTGCATTAAATAGTCAGCAACTTATAGGAAATGCTCTGGAGTTCATTTATTTGGGGGGCTAGGATTAGAGAGGGTTCAAAATGTTTGTTTTCTTCTAACCATGGGACATGACGGAGGCAAGAGACCAGTTTTGCTTCCATGAGGTTTTTCAGGTGTAGACAGGACTGTGTATTTCTGCTTGTATAACTATATGTGTCTTTTGCCCTGTTTAATTTTACTGGGACTTACCTTTTGCTTATTGAATTTTGCTATACATTAAAACTCCATTGTCCTAAAATGTAAAAAAAATAGCTTTCAGTGTCATTTGCCTTTTCGTTTATGATATTTTTATCATAACTAACACTTTCATCTTTATGTAGTCAAATTGTTCAATTAGTTTCCTTATAATTTCTGCTTTGGCACCACACTTAGAAAGTCCTTTTCAGTCGGGTATGGTGGCTCACGCCTGTAATCCCAGCACTTTGGGAGGCCAAGGCAGGCAAATAACTAGAGGACAGGAGTTCCAAGACCACCTGGCCAACATGGTAAAACCCCATCACTACTAAAATTACAAAAATTAGCTGTGCGTGGTGGTGCACATCTGTAATCCCAGCTACTCAGGAGGCTGAGGCAGAAGAATCCCTTGAACCTGGGAGGCGGAGGCTGCAGTGAGCCAAGATTGTGCCACTGCACTCCAGCCTGGGTGACAGAGCGACACTTCATTTTTAAAAAAAAAAAAAAAGGGAAGATATAAAATCTTTTTTGGCTTTTTAAATATTGTTTATAAGCATCCCACAGAATGAGAGAAAATATTTGCAAATCATATAACTGATAAAGGAATGATTTCCAGAATATACAAAGAATTCCTACAACTCAACAACAACAAAAACACTCAATTAAAAAACTGACAAAGGGCTTAAATAGGCATTCCTCCAAAGATATACAATGGCAATAAGCACATGAAACGATGCCCAACATCACTAATCACTAGAGAAATGCAAACCAAAACCACAATGAGATACCCCCTCACACTCATTAGGAAGCTTATTTTTTTCATGATATGTAGTTAATAACAAGAGTCAGTAAGGATGTGGGAAAATTGAACATGGGAACCGCTTTGCATTGCTGGTGGGAACATAACATGGTGCAGCCGCTATGGAAAACAGTATAGTGGTTCCTCAAAACCTTAAAAACAGAATTAGCGTATGATCTAGTAGTTCCACTTCTGGGTATATACCCACAAGAATTGAAAGCAAGGGCTCAGATATTTGTATGCTGACATTCATAGTAATATTAATCACAATAGCCAAAAAGTAGCAGGAATCCAATTGTCCACTGAGATGAATGGAGAAACAAAATGTGTTCTACACATACAATGGACTATTCTTTTTCTTTCTTTTTTTTTTTTTTTTTGAGACGGAGTCTCGCTCTGTCACCCAGGCTGGAGTGCAGTGGCGCGATCTCGGTTCACTGCAACCTTGGCTTCCCGGGTTCAAGCAATTCTCCTGCCTCAGCCTCCCGAGTAGCTGGGATTACAGGCACGCGCCACCACGCCTGGGTAATTTTCGTATTTTTAGTAGAGATGGGGTTTTGCCATGTTCGCCAGGCTGGTCTCGAATGCTTGACCTCATGATCCGCCTGCCTCAGCCTCCCAAAGTGCTGGGATTATGGGTGTGAGCCACTGCGCCTTGCCCATACAATGAACTATTGTTTAACCTTAAAAAGGAAAGAAATTCTGACACCTGCTACCACATAGATGAACTTTGGAGATGTTATGTTAAGTGAACTAAGCCAGATAAAAAAGAATAAACACTGTATAACTCCACCTATATGAGGTACACAGAGTAGCCAAATTCATCAGACATAAAGTATAGTGGTGGTTCCAGGGACGTGGGGGAGTGGGGGGAGTTGTTTAATGAGTACAGAGTTTCATTTTACGAAGATGAAAAAGTTTTGGAGGTGGATGGTGGTGATGACTGTGTAACAGTGTTCATGTGCTTAATGCCACTGAACTATACACTTAAAATGATTAAAATGGCAAGTTCTATGTCTATTTTACCACATTTAAAAGATATTTTGCTTACATTTCCTCTTAATACTTTATAATTGCACTGTGTACTTTTCAGAACTATTCTGGCTGTGAAAGCATCAGCAATTCCTATCTACACTTCAAGTGTACCCATTGGTGGTGACAGGTGGTGGTTGGGTGCCTGGTGAAAATGAAATCAAGGCTGAGTTAGAAATGAGGACAGACCTTGAGAGATGGAGTCAGGCGTGCTCCTCAGGCTCTTTTGATGACAAGGAGCATGGATTTTCTTAGACTACCTGTCCCACTTACTATCACCGTATAACAAACTACCCTAAAATTTCGTTGATTAAGCAAAACCATTTTATTATATGTCACAACTACATGGACGCTGCATGGTTTTTTTTACCTACCCTTGGAAGGCACATCGTGTTACTTCCACTGCACTGTGTTGACTATGGTAATGTCAGCTCAGATTCAAGGGGAAAGGAATCATAGGCCCCGTCCTGATGGGGGAGTGGCAAAGTCACATTGAGGAGAGCATGTGGGATGGAGGTACTGTTGTAGCCATCTTTGAAAAATAGAATCTCCTCCACTGCTAAGAAAAAGAGGATTTATTATAAAAATACAAAAGACTAGAATTAGGAAAACCCTGGAATGGACCAGTTGCTCTGTCTCTGACCTCTGCATGTCTGCTTTGCCCTCTGTCTACTCAGTTTCTCTCGGTCTTGTTTGGTTTCCCTCAGCCTCTGCTCCTCCCCAGCACACTGGCCTTTGACCCGCTATGGCCTCTCCAGCCTTTCTCAAGCTTCCCGGAATGTGTTAGTTCAAATTCCGGAGAGAGGCTCTGACTGGCTCATCTCCTATGTCTCAGCAACACTTGGTCCAATCAAATGGAGGGGCTGGCACAGGCTGGGAGTAAAGGGAAAGAGGAGCTGGGCGGCTCTCAGATCACCCTGCACTGCTTCTCACACCTGGCTGCATATTCGGATCACCCACGCAGCTTTAAAAACAGACCCGCGGCCTGGGTCCCACCCTCAGAGAATCTGATTCAATTGATCTGGGGTTAGAGACTAAGCATGTGTGTTGTTTTAGATGCATGGTACCCATGCGTCTCCCGAAACCAGGGAATTTGCTGCTCGCTGTGATGACCGGGGAATAGCCGCCAGGTGTGGACAGCAAGCTAGCCCAGGGAGTATCATTTATCAGACAGGGAAAGGAAAACAGGCTTTTCTTGCTTTTTAGCATGTGTTGTTGCTTTTGTTGTTTTTTTCACAAATCTCAAAGAAATTGTGAACTCGAAGAGACTTTAGAGACAATCTAATTCAACACATTCATTTGCAGCTATGGAATAGGGCAACCAATTCGTCCTGGTTTAGCTGGGACTGCCCCAACTTTAGCATTGGAAGTACTGCCACATCCCAGGGAAATCCCTCAGTCCCAGGCAAACCGAAAAGGCTGTACCTTATATAGAAACTCCAACCCATTCGCAGTCACTGCGTGTCCTCCCTGCCCCCAGCTGCTGGCAACCATTTATCCACTTTCTGTCTGTATGGATTTGCATATTCTGGATAGTTCATATAACTGGAATCCCACAATATGTGGCCTTTTGTTTCTGGCTTAGTCCACTTAGCATGTTTTTAAGGTTCATTCATGAAGTAGCAGGTGCACATACTTCATTTCTCTTTATGGCTAAATAACACTCCCTTATATGGCTTTACCACATTCATCTGTTGATGGACATTTGGGTCATTTCCACTTTGGGGCTATTATGAATAACAGCTCCTGTGAACATGTGTGTGCAGGTTTCTGTGTGGACATGTCTTTAGTTTTCTTGGGTATACACCTAAGAGTGGGATTGCTGGGTCACACGATAACTCTATGTTTAACATTTTGAAGAACTGCCAGACTTTATTAAAGTGTCTCTATCATTTTATGTTTGTACCAGCACAAATATGAAGATTCTAATTCCTCCATAGCCTCACTAGCACCTGTTATTATCTACCTTTTGATTCTAGCCATCCTAGTAGGTGTGAAGTAGTATCTCATTGTGGTTTTGATTTATGTTTCCCTGATGATTAATAATGTTTAACATCTTTTCATGTGCTTATTGGTCATTTGTGTATCTTCTTAAAGAAATGTGTATTCAGATCCTTTGCTCATTTTAAAACTGGGTTATTTATCTTTTTATTACTGAATTGTAAGAGTTCTTATCTATTCTAGATACAAGCCCCTTGTCAGATACATGATTTACAAACATTTTCTTCCTTTCAGTGGTTTTCTTTTTCATTTGCTGGAAGGTGTCCTTGAAGCATAATAGTTTTTAATTTTGATGAAGTCCCATTTATCTATTTTTTCTTTTGTTGCTTGTGCTGTTGGTGTTATAGCTAAGAAACCATTACCTAATCCAAGATCATGAAGATTTAAGCCTATGCATTCTTTTAAGAGTTTTATAGTTTAGCTGTCACATTTATTTAGGTCTTTGCTCCATTTTGATGAAGTTTTGTATATGGCATGAAGTAGGAGTTCAATTTTGTTCTTTTGCATATGGCTATCGAGTTCTTTCACCACCATTTTTGAAGAAACTTCCTTCCCCACTGAATGGTCTTGGCACCCTTTTAGAAAACAAGTTGACCATAGATGTATAAATTTCTGTCAGAACTCTCACTTCTATTCCATTGACTTATATATCTATCCTTACACCAGTACCATACTGTCTGGACTACTACAGATTTGCAGTAAGTTGTGAAATAGAGGAATGCAAATCCTCCAACTTAATTCTTCCTTTTTAAGATGATTGTGGTTATTCTGGATACCTCGAATTTCCATATGATTTTTCTTTTTAGTTTTTCTCATTACCGTTGGGTTTATTTCATTTTTTATTTAATTAATTTTAATTGACAAATAAAAATAGTGCATATTTATCACATGCAACATGTTTTGAAATATGTATACATTACAAAATGGCTAAATTGAGCTAATTAACAAATCCATATGATTTTCAAGATCAGTTTGTCAATTTCTACAAAAACATCCAGGTGAGATTTTGATAAGGACCGCATTGAAACTATAGATCACTCCAGGGCGTACTCCCATCTGAACAATGTTAAGTCTTTCAATCCATGGACATGGGATATCTTTTCATCTGTGTAGGTCTTCATTGATTTCTTTCAGCAGTGTTTTGTAATTTGAGTGTACTAGTCTTATACTTCTTATGTTAAACTTACTCCCAAGTAGGTTACTCTTTTTGATACTATTATAAATGGAAATGGAATTTTTAGATTAATTTCATTTTCTGATTGTTTACTTCCAGCATATAGAAATACAATTGATTTTTGTATATAGATTTTATCTACTTGCTGAACTTGTTTATTAGTTCTAGTAATTTTTAGTGGATACTTCATAATTTCATATATACAAGACCTATGTCTGCGAATAGATAACATATAGTTTATTTCTTCTTTTCAAATCTAGATACCTTTTATTTTATTTTCTTTCCTAATTAATTTGTCAGTTAGTTGAATGTTGAGTAGAAGTGGTGAGCACAGACATTCTTATCTTGTTCCTGATTTTAGGAAAAAAGCATTTGTCTTCCACCATTATGTATGATATTACCTACGAGCTTTCTTTTTGTAGATGCCCTTTATCAGGTTTAAGAAGTTCCCTTCTAGTCCTGGTTAGTTGAGTGTTTTTGTCATGAATGTATGTTCAATTCTGTCAAATGCTTTTCCTGTGTCTACTGAGATGACCATGTGGCTTTTGTCCTTTTTTCTATTCATGTGGTATATTACATGATTTATTTTCATATATTGCCAACCTTGTATTCCTGGGATAAATCCCATTGGCCAGGGGGTATAATTCTTCTATTTCACTGGTATTTTGTTAAAGGTTTTTGACTACATTTATAAGGGATATTGATCTGGAGTTTTCTTTTATTGAGTTGTCTCAGGTATCAGGGATAATACTGGCATCATGGAATGAGTTGGGAAATGTTCCCTCCTCTTCTACTTTTTGAAAGAGTTTGTGAAAATAATGGTATTCATTCTTTTTCAAATGTTTGATATAATTCACCGAGTGAAGCCATCTGAGTCTGGGGCTTTCTTTGTGAGTAGTTATTTGATTACAAATTCAATCTCTTTACTTGCTGTAATTCTCTACATAGCATTCATCTTGAATGCCTACACAATACTGTGTCAGGTCCAGTGCTAGTTCTTAAATTTCTTTTGGGAGATTTGGACACTAAGAAGAGGGAAAGGGGCTAGATTCGTTCATTCATGTGGGTGTTCTTTCAAAACATGTATTGAGTATCCCGGCTGTGTTCTGTGCTCATCCCTGAAGCTACTAAGACAAAAAAGACAGCCACAGGAACTACCCTTAGGACGAAGGAGTGAACAAGTTGATTTCAGATGAGAGTCTGGGTGGCCACCTGCTGAGTGTGAGAGGAGACCCAGCAGTACTCATTGGTGTTGGAGTCGTTCTTAGCTCCAAACAAACGATAATGCCTCAGAGTCCTCTGGCACTTTGTAGGTTATAAAGTGCTTTCACTTATAAAATCTCATCACAGTTGATCCTTAGAGGCAATTCAGCAAAATTCATTATTCCTCTTTGCAAAAGATGGAATGCCAATGTTCAGAGAAGGTCAGTATGAATTCAAACTTTTAGGCAGTGCTTCTCCTGTACTAGCCCCATGTAAGGCCCTAGGAGATGAAGATATGACAAGGTTCTTGCCTTCAAGGAGCTGTCAGTCTGAGATAGAAAGAAAGAGACAGGAAGTCAGAGAGACCTAACAGTCTATGATGGTCATCTCACAGGGTGAAATGGAGGCAGAGAGGAGGGGGTTCAGAAATGGTTTCGCCATGAATGTGACCCTTAAAATGTGGCTGGGAGCAACCTGGACATTACACCAGGAAATAACAAAAGTCATTCAGAACTGGGATGACTATATGTCCTAGTTTCCCCAGGATAATACGTTTGCTTCTATTGTCACAGTTTAAGTATCAGTAGCACCCTTTTTTCCTCTCAAAATACATGTTTGCTATATGCATGCTTTCAAAGTATTTCCCTAAAAAACTGTTGTAATTATGAAGGAAAAAATAGTAACTTTACCGTAGAGAAATCTGGCAGATGCTTAATCCAGTAACGAAGATTAATATCTTCACAGATGGTACCAATGGACATCATGTGCCTCCTGTTAAGATGTGCTGAGAGCTTTCCGCGCTACCCACAGAGTGGTCCATACGGCGTTGTTCTGGATTCCAGTCGTAACTTAAAGGGAAACTTTCACAATATCCAGAGCCCTTGATGTCCTACAAATGAAGGAGGAGGATGTCCTTAAGTTCCTTGCAGCAGGAACCCACTTAGGTGGCACTAATCTTGACTTCCAGATGGAACAGTACATCTGCAAAAGGAAAAGTGATGGCATCTACATCCTAAATCTGAAGAGGACCTCGGAGGAGCTTCTGCTGGCAGCTCGTGCCATTGTTGACATTGAAAACCCTGCTGATGTCAGTGTCATATCCTCCAGGAATACTGGCCAGAGGACCGTGCTGACGTTTGCTGCTGCCACTGGAACCACTCCAATTGCTGGCCGCTTCACCCCTGGAACCTTCACCAACCAGATCCAGGCAGCTTTCTGGGAGCCACAGCTTCTTGTGGTTACCGACCCCAGGGCTGACTACCAGCCTCTCACGGAGGCATCTTATGTTAACCTACCTATCATTGCTCTGTGTAACACAGATTCTCCTCTGCACTATGTGGACATTACCATCCCATGTAACAACAAGGGCACTCAGTGGGTGTGATGTGGTGGATGCTGGCTCGGGAAGTTCTGCGCATGCATGGCACCATTTCCCACAAACACCCGTGGGAGGTCATTCTTGATCTCTACTTCTACAGAGATCCTGAAGAGACTGAAAAAGAAGAGCAGGCTGCTACTGAAAAGGCTGTGACCAACAAGGAAATCAAGGTGAATGGACTGCTCCAGCTCCTGAGGTCACTGCTACTCAGCCTGAGGTTGCAGACTGGTCTGAAGGTGTGCAGGTGCCCTTTGTGCCTATCCAGCCATTCCCTACTGAAGACTGGAGTGCTCAGCCTGCCACAGAAGACTGGTCTGCAGCTCCCACTGCTCAGGCCACTGAATGGGTAAAAGCAACCACTGAATGGTCTTAAGCTGTTCTTGTACGGGCTCTTAAGGAACATGGAAATAAGGTTGATGGAAAATAAACATCAGTTTCTTAAAAAAAAAAAAAATATTGTGTTGAGAAGGGCCAGGCACAGTGGCTCACGTCCATAATCCCAGCACTTTGGGAGGCTGAGGCGGGCAGATCACATGAGGTCAGGAGTTCGAGCCAGCCTGGCTAACATAGTAAAACCCCGTCTGTACTAAAAATACAAAATTAGCTGGCCATGGTGGCGTGTGCCTGTAATCCCAGCTACTCAGGAGGTTGAAGCAGGAGAATTGCTTGAACCCAGGAGGTGGAGGTTGCAGTGAGCCGGGATCACGTCACTGCACTCCAGCCTGGGCAACAGAGTGAGACTCTGTCTCAAAAAAAAAAAAAAGAAAGAAAGAAAGAAAGAAAACAAAAGAAAAAATGTGCCAAGAAGGACACAACAGCACTTTTGTGATATTGTTGCCAGAAATATATAAACCGCATCTGGTCACTAAGAAATATCAGACAAACCCCAACTAAGGGACATTCCACACAACAACTGAGCCTCAAAACATATCAAGGTCACGAGAGACAAGAAAGACTAAGGAACCATTCTAGATTAAAGGACACTAAAGAGAAACAACAACTAAATGCAACACATGGTACAAGATTATATCCTGAATGGAAAAAAAGTACATCAGCAGGCCGTGTGAAATCTGAGGACTGGAGATTAGATAATGGCACTGCTATCCATGTAGAACGTCCTTAGGTTTAGGAAATACACATAGAAGTAATTAGGGTTTTTTCAAAGTGCCACAGTTTGGATGATAAATGGTGATGGTGTGGTCTCCCTTTCCAGAACCCAGTGAGAACCCAGCCCTCTCCACTCCCAGGCTGTGGACCTGTCACCGTCAGCCACCTCAGATGGCCACTCAACTCCTCACCACTGAGAGGGCATTCAGATGAGCCAGCGGCTGGTGTGCCCCGGGACACACAGGACCCCTTGTCAGCACCATGCCAACCTGTCCACCCATGAGGTGTCTCTGTTCCTCCGGCACCTTAATTCCCTAATAAGGTCTCAGCCAAGTGAAACCACCACTCAGCTTTTCCCGGCAGTCAGAAGTAAGAGTCTCAAACAAAGGAAAAAAACAAACGGGAGAAAAGTTGGCCTTTTTGTGGTCATTTCCACTTTCTTGTTGGGTGGGCCGAGGCCTCCTCAGACCGGATTCTCTGAATATGTCCTACGTGGTCTGTAGGCTAAATGGTTACTAGAGAAACTGTGTTTTTCTTCCAACTACATCCTTGCACCCGACTTACGGGTCTCTTAAAATCAGGTAATCCTCTACGGCCAGAATACGAGATGTGGACATCTTGGGCAAGCTAATAATTTGGCATTCCCTTAAACTGATGTTCCGTAAATATTTGTTAATGGGGAGCAGAAGGAACTGATTTTCTGTTCATACATAGGCAGTTTGACTCACTGAATATACCTCTGCTGGCCGGAGCAGAGTCAGTGGACTTCAAATAATGGGCAAAAAATATTTCCCCTGGATCTGAAGTCCTAATTCTTTCTCCAGCTTTTTTCTTCTTTTCTTGTCCTTCTTTTTCTTTCTTTCTCTTTTTTCTTTTTCCTTTCTTTCTTCCTTCCTACCTTCTTTTTTTTTTTTTTAATTTTTATTTTTTCAGAGACAGAGTCTTGCTCTGTTGCCCAGGTTGATCTTGAACTCCTGGCATTAAGCCACCCTCCTACTTCAGCCTCCTGTGTAGCTGGGACTACAAATGCATGCCAGTTTTCTTTGGGATTTTTCTGAACCAGGCAAATATTTTTAATATCAGTTACAGAATTAAGTTCTTTTATGATTCAGTTTATCACTTACTATCATCTCTACCTGCCCTGTGCCTCATATTTATATGTGTTTTATTTTATTGGATTTTCCCCCTTCATCTCTGTTCTGTGTTTCTTTTTTTCTTTTTCTATTTTTTTTTAAGAAAGGGTCTCACTCGGTCGCCCAGGCTGGAGTGCAGTGGTGCGATCTTGGCTTACTGCAACCTCTGCCTCCAGGATTCCCAAGTACCTGACATTACAGGTGCACACCACCATGCCTGGCTAATTTTTGTACTTTTAATAGAGACGAATTTTCGCCATGTTGGTCATGCTGGTCTTGAACTCCTGGCCTCAGGTGATCCACGCACCTCAATCTCCCAAAGTGCTGGGATTACAGGTGTGAGCCACCGCACCCGTCTCTGTTCTGCATTTTCGTTCCACCTTTCTCCCCAACAGCACTCATTATAATGTGTAGTATTTCCTTAGCTATGACCCTACCTTTGAAAAATACAGAGCACAACTTAGTATATGTATGCATTTTAAGTGCATGTAAATGTAATCCAGCTTTAGCTGCATCAGGATGATCTGGAGAAAACACAGATCCCTGGACCAGAGAGTCTGATTCAGCAGGTCTGCATGGGGCCTGAGAATTAACATTTGTAACAGGTGGCCTGGGGATTCTGAGGCTGTGGACAGTGGACCACACATCAAGCTGCACAATTCTAGATCTCCCTCTACTATAAAATAAATAAAAAATAAAAGAAATAAAATGATAATAATACAAAGTATTATCATTCAACATCATGTTTTCAAAGTCTGTCTATATTATGGACATACCTTGAGTTCATTGCTTCCATCTGGTCCAAGTGTCTGCCTCTCTTCAACAGTGTACTTTCCTACCCTCCCAATGAGGGACACCTTAGGTTGCCTGCAACTCCTCTATCACACAGGATGCTGCAATGAATGTTGTTTTCCAGGTGTCCTCATGTACCTAGGAATGAGATTTTCTGGGTCATATATCCAGGAGAGGAGAATACTGGGCTGTTAGGTACATATTTGCACATCTAATTTCTCTAAGTATTTTCAGACTGCTTGTTCTCCAGGCCGACAAAGCCGAATCCACTCCCACACACCATGGTGCATGAGGAGTCCACACACTTCCTGGGAGACATAAAGAAGTTTTAATTTTGATAATAAAAAAAATCTGTCAGTCCCTGTAACAGCAAGATTATAAACAATCTTTGGTTTCAGAATTTTACCTCACCAACACTGCATGCTGCAAAAATCCTGGGCAGCCACATCTGTGCCCATGAGGAACGCCCACACACACAGAGGCACACACGCCTCAACCCCATGACACAGCCTGGCTCAGCACAGGCAGCAGCCATGTTTATTCTCCTGTCTTACTTACCCTCATAAATCAGAGGCCTGCTTGATATGGCTCCAACTTCTGCTCCATGAAGCCTTTGGAACCGGAACTTGCTCCAGGGTTGTGAGAAGACCATTAGCTCCCTGCAGGCTGGACCAGAAGCTCTGTGACAGTGGCCAGACAACCCATTGTCTGGGATTATCTGATTTCACTCTGTAGGGTTGTTTTCCTGTTGTTACCTGATTCTCTCAACAATGAGCATAAAAATAGAATCTTCCTGACTAGCCCAGGGTTTTAAAATTACCAACAAAAGGGTGCAGCAGATGTCTTTTTGGACTTCAGATTATTTTTTAAAGGCTATCCTCTTTGGCACAACCAAAAGTAAATTGAATATTGCATTCAAATAACCCAGTTTTCCTTTCTAGAGGGGAAAGGGGAGGATTAGTGGGCGTATGGTAATTTGTACAATCCTCTAAATAACAGGTAACTACAACCAGTCTGGTTACACTGACTGAAATGCCAGGAACCCTTTGGAAAAAAGTGGTCAACTGATTTGGAGAATAGTAAATGTGACTTTTGAAAAGCAGATTTTAAAAATTTCAGGGAAAAGTACATATTCATTCTTTCAAGTATTTATTTTTTTAATTGACAAATAATAACTGTACATATTCATGGGGTACATAGAGATGTTTCAGTACATTTAATGTACAACGATGAGATTAGCGTAATTAGTGTATCCATCAGCTCAAACAGTTATGATTCCTTTGTGTTGGAATCATTCGATATCCTCCTTCTAGTTATCTAGCCATTTGAAACTGTATAAAATATTATTGGGTTTGTGGGGGATTTTTGTTTGTTTTGTTTTCTTTTCTTTCTTTCTTTTTTGTTTTTTTGAGACAGATTCTCACTCTGTTGCCCAGGCTGGAGTGCAATGGCATGATCTCGGCTCACCGCAGCCTCCGCCTCCCGGGTTCAAGCGATTCTCATGTCTTGGCCTCCTGAGTAGTTGAGATTACAGTCATGCACCACCACACCTGGCTAATTTTTGTGTTTTCAGTAGAGACGGGGTTTCACCATGTTGGCCAGGCTGGTCTCGAACTCCTGACCTTAAGTGATTCGCCCTGCCTCGGCCTCTCAAAGCACTGGGATTTTAGGCGTGCACCACCTCGCCTGGCCTGTATAATATATTATTGTTAACTGTAGTCATCCTACACTGGTATAGAACGTTAGAACTTATTTTTCATAGCTAGCTGTTCATTCAAGTATTTTATTGAGACTTTTTGAACTAGTGTGGTACTGTTTATTCCTCTGTCCTTCACATTTTGAAAAAAATCAACAATTAATTTAAAAGCAAAAACCTTAAAATCCATGCTTATCAACTTTGCAAATGAAACCCAAACTCAAAGAAATGGCAAATAAAAGAGATGGCATAATCAATATTTAAATGATTTCAACAGATCAGAATCCTGAGGTGTAGCCAACAAGATAAAAGGGAAATGACAGCTGTGTTTATGTATAAAATAAATACAACTGCACAGGTATGGGACGACAGGTGCCTGGCATTGTCCCAGTTTGTATGGCACATGGTTTGTTGTGGAAATCAAATAAGATAATGCAGTTTTAGGCAGCATGAATAGGACGAAAGAGTGGTGGTCAGGAAAAATCAAAGCAGCACCTGGCACTCTGCATGCCCAGCTCCCCAACACCTGACACTCTGCATGTCCAGCTCCTTCGAGATACAACACACTTCGTGAGGCGGGATTGCATCTGTCCTGTGCTTTTCTAGATCCCTGGATGACAAGTAGTGCCTGCCCCCCACTTAGGCGCTCAATGCCTAGTTGATGAAAGAATGAAGAAATACCATATTCAGTACAGCACTCCCCTTTCAGAGGGAACATCCAAAATGAAGATCCATCTTGAGGAGGATGGTCAGAATGGTGTGGGGTTTGGATTCTGGGTACGACTAACTTAGGCCACAGAAAGTCTGGGCTGAACATGTGTAATGAACCTGATAACATCTTAAAATATCCAGAAGGTGGTCATGGGAAGAAGTAGAATTGTGCTTCTTGGTTCAGAGCCCAGAAATGCACTGCTGGATGACAGAGAGGCAGATCTGGCTTTAATGTAATACCCTTTTCACAGTGAGGACTGTCGGGTGATGGAAGATGGACAGCCTGTTACAGCAGCGTGTTCTCTCCCACAGACATATTCCAGCAGCACCTGATGACTTTGAGGGGATCCTGTTGAGTTAGGAATTTTATGTCCCCCAGAATTATGTTTCTTGGGTTTCCTCAATTATATTTAAAAAAGGAAGAAAACAAACAAACAAAAAGTATCTATAATCCATTTCCAAGGAAACCACCCGAGGTGAAAATAAAAGTATTAAGAAACATTTAGGCCAGAGGCGGTGGCTCAGGCCTATAATTCCAGCACTTTGGGAGACTGAGACAGGCAGATCACTTGAGGTCAGGAGTTTGAGACCAGACTGGCCAACATGGTGAAACCCCATCTCTACTAAAAATACAAAAGTTAGCCAGGCGTGGTGGCGCATGTCTGTAATCCCAGCTACTCAGGAGGCTGAGGCAGGAGAATTGCTTGAACACAGGAGGTGGAGCCAAGATCGTGCCACTGCACTCTAGCCCGGGTGACAGAGTGAGACTCTGTCTCAAAAAAAAAAAAAAAAAAAAAAAAAAAAAGAAAGAAAAGGAATATTTAAGACATTATTTTATTTTTATTTATTTGGTTTTGGGAGATGGGATGTCACTTGTTTCTTCATCTGGCCTTGAACTCCTAGGCTCAAGGGATTCACGCCACCAGCCTTCTGAGGAGCTAGGACTACAGGCATGAGCCACTGTGCCTGGCTTTTAAAACCTTATGTTAAATTCTACTTGTTGAAGCTTAAATCGGTAGTGGAAATAAAGGCTATCATTTTTTAGCTGGATCCAGATTATAAAAGGTCTTGAATATTTGGCCTCCCAAAATCTAAATTGTATTCAGGTGGTCTCAAGCAGTTCTTGCTTTTTAGGGCCAATGCTGGCCTTCAAAATCTGAAGGGCTCCTTTGTTAATTAGCTAGATTAACCATTCCACAATAGATACACACTTCAAAACATCATGTTGTACATGATAAAAAAAACATACAATGATATCCGTCCATTTAAATAAATAATAATTTCAAACAAAATAAAACAAAAATACTAAGTGTTCAACCAAAGAGATTGTTCTGAGAAACATATGTGAGTTGACTGCCGCCATCAAGGATCATAAAACTTACAACTTTACACCTTCTCAGAGCAGAAACTTCCAAGAAGAAATGGATCCTATTTATTGCTAAACCTGCTGGGTTTGTTTCTTTAATCATAAATCTCCACAACTTCCACCTAAACCTCTAGCTACATTGGCAGAATTGGGTCTATAAAGTAATACAAGTCCTCCCTTGGGATGGCAGGCCGGGAGCCCATTTATCCAAGGAGCCACATTCTTGGTCGCCCGGAGGAAGGGGAGGGAAGAGCATTCTTTATGAGCAATGCCTCCAAGACTGCATGTCTTAAGGTCAGGGTCTCTTGCCTATGGTGGATAGTTATTAATGTGTCTGCTCAGGACAGGACACCCCCCTTCTTCTGGCTCTACTCCTCACCCTCAACCTGTTCTTATCCTCTTGTTTAGAGTCATCTGCTTTCAGATCTCACACCCTAAGCCACAGGGATTGGCAGAGGTAGGGCCCCAACTCCAAGTAAACCAATAACATTATCCAATCTTGTACCACAGCAATTGGAACAAAGATGCAACCCAAACTGGGCCAAAGGTAAACAGGGCATTCCTCTCGGATGATGGAGCAGAAGTTGGGAACCTGGGAATTATTGATGCCTGTGTCTTCCATGCCTGGCAGAAGCTAACTCAAGGGAATGAACAGGATACCTGGGTGGCAGATTGCGCTTCCACAAAATGGCCACAGTCATATTTCCCATCACACATGTTTTTCCAGAACCTGGCCACTCCCGAACAAGAAGTGGAGTCTACGGTTGTCCCCATCCCCTGAAACAACTGGGTGGGCCTTTGTGACTGCCTCCATCAGTAGAGAAGGGCAGAAGTGATACTATCTGACGTCTGAGCCCAGCCCACAGAAGCCACCCAGCTTCCTCCTGGCTGTCTTTGGGGATGGCTTGCCCTTGGAACCTGGCTCTGCTGCTATGAGAAGCCACATGAAGAGACCCACCTAGAGAGATCCCTCCAGCCTCAGCCCTGGCTGATTGTCTAGTTGACAGCACCAACTTGACGGCCTGACTGAGCCATCTTAGAAGCAGATTTTCCCCAGTTGAGGCCTGCAGCTGACACCACATGGAACAGAGACTTCCTTTCCTTCCCTACCAAACCCTGTTCAAACTGCACAGTCATGAGCATAATCGTGTTGTGGGGCTGCAAACTTCAACATAGCACGATCTGCTCTCAAAGGATTCACTTTAAAGAACTGTGGGATGGTGGATAAACACGCAGCTGACTTGTCATGGCTGGCTCTTCCTAGCAGTGCTTTGCCTATAGCTGTACTGGGGAGAGACCTAGGTGTTGAATGGCTGCCTTCTTTCAGGAAGCGGTATTGAGTAATGAGCAGGTAAGCAGATTTGA